TACACAGGCTTCCTGTCCCAGCTGACGGGAATTATAAATTATACTGCGTCTGATTAACAGCAATCTATAGTGTAGTTATCAATAATTAAGGTATAGTTTTAAACAATTATATAAGGAATTTTGTCAGAAAATATGTTTATACAAAAATACACTGTGTAATGCTATGTTTTTTGTTTATATACAATTATTAAGGTGACAGTAGTAGCCTCGGTCACTAGTTCACACCCATATATATAATATATATATATATATATATATATATATATATATATATATATATATATATATATATATATATATATATATATATATATATATATATATTATACTGAGTTTACATTACTTCCGGACAATTTTCTGAGTTAAAGTGTCCATACCGGTTGGTCACTAAGCTCTAACGTCTAAGTCACTAAGTTGGTCACTAAGCTCTTAAGTTAATGGTCACTTCAACTCTAACGTCTAAGTCACTAAGCTCTTAAGTTAATGGTCACTTCAACTCTAACGTCTAAGTCACTAAGCTCTTAAGTTAATGGTCACTTCAACTCTAACGTCTAAGTCACTAAGCTCTTAAGTTAATGGTCACTTCAACTCTAACGTCTAAGTCACTAAGCTCTTAAGTTAATGGCCCTTCAGAGGTTGATAGGACTCAAACACAACACCAAACCATCGGAACAATTATAAATTATATCCTCAGACAATGTATGAAACTCTATTATTCAAATAGTTAAGTATGTTAAATATACACATTTCATATATTTCCTTATACTCTTATAGTCTTATATCAACTTGTATAAGTTGACTAAACCCTCTATTACAGTCAACTAGGAATTGAAACCTGGAAGATAGATGTAACAAAACCTATAATCAGTCACAAAATAAGTATCTGATATTCCCAGAGTAGGAGTCTTCGTATGCAATAACTACAGCACTTTAGTACAGTAGTTATTGCAAGATATGCAGAGTAAGAGTAGCGGTTAAATTACATGTACTTTGTACCAAGGCACTACGGGCTCACCATAGCCCGTGCTACTTGGAACTTTGTTCCAGGTAGCGAATCGTTAACAACAACTTTGTACCAGCATCACAGAATCATATACTCTTGTGCTGCTGTACTGCTAGTATCACTTAAAATCTAGTACAGTAAACATCTCATTTGACTGTTGTCACAGTAAACATCTCATTTGACTGTTGTCACAGTAAACATCTCATTTGACTGTTGTCATGACAATTTCAACATCATGTAACATGACTATTATACATTTGTTCACCAGTTTAGGATGTGTTATTAGGTTTGAACAGCAAGACGGCTTATGTACTCACCTAACTCGCCTAATTATGCTTGCGGGGGTTGAGCTCTGTCTCTTTGGTCCCGCCTCTCAACTGTCAGTCAACTGGTGTACAGATTCCTGAGCCTATTGGGCTCTCTATCATATCTACATATGAAACTGTGTATGGAGTCAGCCTCCACCACATCACTGCCTAGTGCATTCCATTTATTAACTACTCTGACACTGAAAAAATTCTTTCTAACGTCTCTGTGGCTCATCTGGGTACTAAGTTTCCACCTGTGGCCACAATTCTTGAAGGGGGTTTGCTTAGTCCTCCCCAGAGATTCCCACGTAGTAGGGTGGGAATGTTTCATCACGCCAACACCCATATCATTGACGTTCTAGCCTAAATCTAATCTAATCTAATCTATCTAAATCTAATCTAATCTATCTAAATCTAATCTAATCTATCTAAATCTAATCTAATCTAATCTAAATCTAATCTATCTAAACCTAATCTAATCTATCTACATCTAATCTAATCTATCTAAATCGTAATCTAATCTAACCTCACCATAACAACCTCCAACGACCCTATTATACTAGTACACGGAAGGGAACTATCAGGGGAAAGCGCCAAGCCATTACGACTATATAGCACTGGAAAGGTGTCAGGATAAGGATTTGGGATGGGACGGGGGGAAGGAATGGTGCCCAACCACTTGTGGACGGTCGGGGATTGAACGCCGACCTGCATGAAGCGAGACCGTCGCTCTACCATACAACCCAAGTGGTTGGACACAATAGTACACGGAGAAGCTACTTACCCGTCAAGATAGTAGGCTGTGAGCCTACTACCTAACTTTTACATTGTATTTGAACTATTCACTTGTTGCATTTTTTTGCAAAAAAAACAATTTATGTAACATTGTTTTGTATTGATTTTTCCTGTGAAACTAAATAATTATCAAAAGAAGGCACCAAGCTGGGAAGGCTATGTAGCTTTATATGCGAAAATTTTCAATGTTATTTGAAAATGTTATTTTCAATTAACCGTTTATTTGAAAATGTTATTTTCAAATAACCGTTTATTTGAAAATGTTATTTTCAAATAACCGTTTATTTGAAAAGCGTAAAAGGCCGATGACTTTATCAGTTGTGGTATTTGAGAGATTATAATGCAGACTGTTTTTTATTTGCATAAGGACGCGTTAAAAATATATATATATTCTCTGCAAATTTACGTTACTTGGTGTTGGGCTTCAGTTTTATCAACCTTTTGGAGGGTTAAGGCCGCCACATTAACATACTGACCGACTAACAAGTACTTTACTCTTGACCCCTGAAAATAGTCAAGGAATAAAGTACCAATTAGTTTATATACACCTGGGGCCAGATTCACGAAAGCACTTACGCAAGCAGTTACGAACGTGTACATCTTTCCTCAATCTTTGACGCCTTTGGTTACATTTATTAAACAGTTTACAAGCATGAAAACTTGCCAATCAACTGTTGTTATTGTTATAAACAGCCTCCTGGTGCTTCGGAGCTCATTAACTGTTTAATAATTGTAAACAAAGCCGCCAAAGATTGAGGAAAGATGTTCAGATTCGTAAGTGCTTGCGTAAGTGCTTTCGTGAATCTGGCCCCAGAAATCTATTTATAGGTCCCTCTGTATAGCATACATCACACCAAAACTGGTTTTGAAGTGAGAACATTTTACAAATATAAAAAATAACACATTTATATAAAATTAAATTATATTATGTTGCAACAGAGTTGATTAAAATACCAGCCTTAAAAATATAATGTATATGTATTTAGCAACCTATCCTCCTGTTTGATAGTACTTTCTGTAACTATGGGGTTGATCGTACCAATATATAGTAATGGAGCCCCAGTAAGCCACTTTCTGTGCATTTGTTTATAGAATCCGGGAAAAATAAAGCTAAAACCAAATTAAAATATTCCTAGGTGTTGACCAAACCTTCAATCCACTACACAATCGACTTGAGAATGGTCCAGGACGGACCGAAACGTCGTCGTCCCTTCACCTTCTAGTGTGTGGTCTGGTCAACATACTTCAGCCACGTTATTGTGACTCATCGCCTGCATATTCCTAGGCCTATAACTGAGTATATAACACATATATGTGTACTATATTAGGCCTCAGATAGCATGTATTTGGCCTAGGATGGTTAGGTTAGGAGTTATAGCATCATAAATATAAATAACTTTTCCAGTTTGTCTAAATTCAGTTCGACAAAAGTCTACTTTCTGGTGGTCCATGACGACATGTGTAGTGCTGTCGACCACATGGTTATTTTAGGAGGGTGGGCGGATATTTAGTTCAGCAGACACAGTCCCACTGAATGTTTTAAATAGTTGATAATAAAATGCATTTGGATGTATGAAAATATTCACCTGTTACACACAGAGATCACACTAACGTGAGGCATCAAATGAACAAATCCACAAGGGCCGTGACGAGGATTCGAACCTGCGTCCGGGAGCATCCCAGACACTGCCTTAATCGACTGAGCTACGACAGGGTAAAAGGGTTGAAACCGAAGTTCTACTGAACTTCGATTTCAACTTACTGGAACTTCGGATCCAGTAAGTTCAGTAGAACTTCGGTTTCAACCCTTTTTACCCTGTCGTAGCTCAGTCGATTAAGGCAGTGTCTGGGATGCTCCCGGACGCAGGTTCGAATCCTTGTCACGGCCCTTATGGATTTGTTTATTCACAAGTTAAGTGGCCATATGCTGGACCAAGTGAGATTGTCAGGATGTAATTTTGTCTCGATTTCAATTAGAATATTAGCACATTTACACTTGCTTATTAAAACATATTCGTTCAAGAAACGACACAAGACAATGCCTTAAAACACGCCATGTTTTGTCTTATAGGTTTGCTTGTTAGGCACGTTGTGTCTTGTACCACCAACTCGTCCTCGACTCAAGTCCATTACATCCAGCGGTCGACCTCACAGACGCATTCATAATATTTTACATGCTGTTCATTCAAAACAGGATTTTTTTTCAAATATAAATTAATATTATATTAGGATACTGTACATATATAGGCATAGGTTAGGTTAGGTTAGTTGTTTAGGTTCTGTTGGCGATTATTTGTATTTGTAGTACGTGGGCGAAGCATTTTCAGTGTTGTGGTTCGAATAAAATTTGTCAGTGAAGCACTTGTTCCGGAAGTGTTCGAACGAAATCAATTGTGAGTCGTGTGTAAACCGTTTTTCATTCATATACAGGGGATTTGGCGAGTGCATGGAATCACTTTTGGGTCTTTGGAGGACGGGCTGCTTGTACAGTACATGAAATCTGTGAAGCCTTGACCGAGTGGTCACAGTATCCAAGAGGAACTTCAGCAATGTTGATTCATCGTTGAAATAACGTTGATAATTTTGAATTAAAATTACTCTTGAACATTGTTGCTCACTAGGAGAGTCACCCTTTCACTTACAGCCACTTCACTAAAATACACTAAAATAGTTATAGCTGAGCTGAGCAAAGAGGAGAGGGAGTTATCTGGAGAGTTGTTCATTCAGCACAGCCTATTGTTTTGATGGTCAACCTATTCAGCTGCCCGCCAGTGTGTTCTTGACTAGGTAATGACCAATGACCAGCTGCTAACTAAATCATGACCAAGTCTTGACCATGTCTGTTTGATCTTAGATATACAATGTGTCCTTTCCTCGCCTCCATCCTAGCTGTGCAACAATCACCCATTGATACTCCATATTAATACTGATAATATTAAGTAGTGACGCTGATACCAGAAAAAAAACAGCACCAGAAGCCAATTTTCGAAAGTGAGTCCGACGTTGGATCTAAAGTTTAATGGAGGTCGGAGGTAAACACCACCAAGTCTGCACAGTGACAATACTTCCAGAATGCCTTTATGGCATCTTAAACCACTCTCCATAACACTAATGCTGTCGTAAGGCATCGTAATGGCCTTGAAAGAGGCGAATTTTCATCCCTACACCAAATTCCGTCCTTTGCCTTTTTCACCTTATAACAAGCTTCAAACTCCCGCACTATTTCAAATATTTATTTAACTATTTCCAAGGGCTGCTAGCACACCCATTAAACTATACCATTCTTTCCCCCATCACCACCACAGATACCGCCGCAGTCACCACCAGCAGGAGGGCCGCGCCCTGCGTCGCTAGGGATGCACCTCCACCCCCAGCAGAGCGTGAGGCGTTGTCACGAGGGAGGGTGTAGGCTGGTGTCTTTGAGGGGAGGGTGCGAGTGGGCATAGCAGGGCATAGGTCCGTCGAGTCCACAAACAGGATACGGTTCTCCAAGCCTTGATAAAGCGGACTCATTTGCTTGATGTATTCTAGGAAGATATCTGTGTCCAGTAGACCTGGAATGATAGGAGCCGCAATTATTGTGGCGTTGGTATGGGTTATGTTTCCAACTTCAATTATATACATAATATATTCGTATAAAAAGTATTAACGTAGATATCCAAATATATAAACACATGGAAATTAATAACAGGAATACAATTGTAAACATAATAAAAGTACAAAAACTCAATCTCTTACTGCTATATAAATGGTATATAACATACACTATATTATTTATATTATGTCTATAAATACAATTGCAATTGTGTAAAATACAATTGCATTTGTGTAATAAATCGGAAATTTTCTTCCACAGACGACCAGGAAACTTTTCTTCCAGTTTCGTCAGGAAATTTTCTTCCAGTTTCGTCAGGAAACTTACCAGTCAAATGGTGGTTGATCTTATTGTTTTTAATGACGGAGAAACCGTCGCCACCTTTGGCCAGGAAGGAGGGCATGGCGACGCTGTAGATGGCGTCGTCCTTCACGTCCTGGAACTCCGGTACTCGGCACTCCTGACAGCGAGCCTGTAGCCTCACCACCCTCGACCCCGGCGGGAGGTTGACGTCGTACACCACCACGAAGCCTACCATACGAGAGACAGGTGAGAAATGTGTTATATTGTGTGTAATGTGAGTCCCTCCTCGTGTTCTCTTTCCTGATTGATTGATTGATTGATAAAGATTAAGCCACCTAAAAGGTGGCACGGGCATGAATAGCCCGTAAATGGTGGCCCTTTTTGAGCCATTACCAGTATCAAGAGCTGATACTGGAGATCTGTGGAAGTGCGACTGCACCCTACGTGACGGGAGATGTCTCCCGTGATCTCTTTCCATCTATATGCTTCGTTAAAAAAACAATTAATGCTGAATTATATGCGCTTTTGGTCTCGTCTCACTATGTTACACTGAAACATAATGTGTTCTTCAGTGTTTTGAGAGCTCTACGAATATGAGTTTAGGACATATTGATGACGAACTCTACGCTACATACAGGATAGACATATAATATATGAATTAATTTAATATATGAATTAAACTAGCTCATAGGACGGGTATGGGGTGAACAATAAATAGCAATATAACAACATATTCAAATAGATTATCCTAATTATTCTTAAATTACTGTATTGTCAAATGGAGTAGTCAGAGTTACAGACATGGATACTGTACACTATCAATTTCGTTTTCTATAGTCACGACGATTAGAGAAAACGGTCAACCTACCGGAGACTTGCAAAAATCCACCAGGGTGAGTGAGCGCTTGAGGGTCGTACTGAGACACAGAATGCTCAAACATTTCCATGACGTGCTTGCCCTTAAGCTCAACGATGTCTATGGTATTCTGGAATGGCGCTACAGTAAGTATATCTTCCATGGTGATCACGCCTGAAATGTTAACAATTGTCAAATTGTTGAACGTAGAAAATTTAATTATAAATATTATATTTGTAAGGTATTTAATATCTGCTTCGCAGCACAAAGTACAGTACATAGTATACGCTATGAGTCTATGTAATAGGCTACATATGGTTCAGTCTATGTAATAGGTTACATATGGTTCAGTCTATGTAATAGGCTACATATGGTTCAGTCTATGTAATTGGTTACATATGGTTCAGTCTATGCAATAGGCTACATATGGTTCAGTCTATGTAATAGGTTACATATGGTTCAGTCTATGTAATAGGCTACATATGGTTCAGTCTGTGTAATAGGCTACATATGGTTCAGTCTATGTAATAGTCTACATATGGTTCAGTCTATGTAATAGGCTACATATGGTTCAGTCTATGTAATAGGCTACATATGGTTCAGTCTATGTAATAGTCTACATATGGTTCAGTCTATGTAATAGTCTACATATGGTTCAGTCTATGTAATAGGCTACATATGGTTCAGTCTATGTAATAGTCTACATATGGTTCAGTCTATGTAATAGGCTACATATGGTTCAGTCTATGTAATAGTCTACATATGGTTCAGTCTATGTAATAGGCTACATATGGTTCAGTCTATGTAATAGTCTACATATGGTTCAGTCTATGTAATAGGCTACATATGGTTCAGTCTATGTAATAGGCTACATATGGTTCAGTCTGTGTAATAGGCTATATATGGTTCAGTCTATGTAATAGGCTACATATGGTTCAGTCTGTGTAATAGGCTACATATGGTTCAGTCTATGTAATAGGTTACATATGGTTCAGTCTATGTAATAGGCTACATATGGTTCAGTCTATGTAATAGGCTACATATGGTTCAGTCTATGTAATAGGTTACATATGGTTCAGTCTATGTAATAGGCTACATATGGTTCAGTCTGTGTAATAGGCTACATATGGTTCAGTCTATGTAATAGGTTACATATGGTTCAGTCTATGTAATAGGCTACATATGGTTCAGTCTATGTAATAGGCTACATATGGTTCAGTCTATGTAATAGGCTACATATGGTTCAGTCTATGTAATAGGCTACATATGGTTCAGTCTATGTAATAAGCTACATATGGTTCAATCTATGTAATAAGCTACATATGGTTCAGTCTATGTAATAAGCTACATATGGTTCAGTCTATGTAATAAGCTACATATGGTTCAGTCTATGTAATAAGCTACATATGGTTCAATCTATGTAATAAGCTACATATGGTTCAGTCTATGTAATAAGCTACATATGGTTCAGTCTATGTAATAGGCTACATGTGGTTCAGTCTATGTAATAGGCTACATATGGTTCAGTCTATGTAATAGGCTACATATGGTTCAGTCTATGTAATAGGCTACATATGGTTCAATCTATGTAATAAGCTACATATGGTTCAGTCTATGTAATAGGCTACATGTGGTTCAGTCTATGTAATAGGCTACATATGGTTCAGTCTATGTAATAGGCTACATATGGTTCAGTCTATGTAATAGGCTACATATGGTTCAATCTATGTAATAAGCTACATATGATTGTAGCACACAGTATCAACACTTAATTTCTTACCTTGTAATGTGACTGTAAATTATCTATGATAACAAATAATACACTGGTGCAAAATTATATAAAAATTAATTATAATGGCTACAGATTAGATATCTCTAATCAATACAGTATTTGTGTAACGAGAAAATGGGATTGTAATACATAGCCAAAATAACGTAAAACTAATATAATATTTATTTTCCAAAAGTGTATAATGAGGAATATCTTGATATTTCTAACCAATACTATTTTAATGTAGCAAGAGGTTATAAGCAGTGATATCTTAATATAATGATAAAATTTAGCTTTTAGCTTGAGCTACCTCATCCCTTTGTGTGTATTTTACCTCAATAAACTTATTTCAATTCAATTTCAATGATAAAATATTTAACTTAGCTAATCTTGCAGACTGGTTCATAATATCATTTTACCAGATTACAGTATCAAGATGACAGGCTTTGTATCTCCTTAACTATTGGTTTAATATATTAACATAAGTTATATATGGTATTTCGAATATTTAGAGGCAAATACATGATAATCTTTCCATTTACCAGGCCTCTAGGACTCTCGATTTAAAAAAATGATATTTGATTAAAAAAAAATTGATATTGTTGCTCTGAAAATGTGTCCTGTATAGGCTTACTATATTCTCCATAACTCGGCTGTATATAGCACAAGGCCCTAAAGGAAAAAAAATACCTATAAATCAACCCTCATCCATCTCACCCCTTTTATCTATGGCATAATATCATGAGCAATAAATAGAGGGTTATACTGACCATTGGAGGCTCGCTCGTCGATAGACGCTCTGATACCCCCACCATTCTGGACCGCCAGGCTGGTCTTGGCCCACCGCTTGTCGTCTGGGAATTTGGTGTTCTGTAACATTGCCACAATGATGGGTGAATTGGGTTTTTAGAAATATAATAGCAATAGATAGAATAGACAAATTGACCTAGTCAATCTTCACCAGTTATAGCCCCGCTCCTGTGCCAGGTAAGTCCACTATGGGCTCTCCATAGCCCATAGTGGAACTATTTGCTCTCCATAGCCCATAGTGGAACTATTTGCTCTCCATAGCCCATAGTGGAACTATTTGCTCTCCATAGCCCATAGTGGAACTATTTGCTCTCCATAGCCCATAGTGGAACTATTTGCTCTCCATAGCCCATAGTGGAACTATTTGCTCTCCATAGCCCATAGTGGAACTATTTGCTCTCCATAGCCCATAGTGGAACTATTTGCTCTCCATAGCCCATAGTGGAACTATTTGCTCTCCATAGCCCATAGTGGAACTATTTGCTCTCCATAGCCCATAGTGGAACTATTTGCTCTCCATAGCCCATAGTGGAACTATTTGCTCTCCATAGCCCATAGTGGAACTATTTGCTCTCCATAGCCCATAGTGGAACTATTTGCTCTCCATAGCCCATAGTGGAACTATTTGCTCTCCATAGCCCATAGTGGAACTATTTGCTCTCCATAGCCCATAGTGGAACTATTTGCTCTCCATAGCCCATAGTGGAACTATTTGCTCTCCATAGCCCATAGTGGAACTATTTGCTCTCCATAGCCCATAGTGGAACTATTTGCTCTCCATAGCCCATAGTGGAACTATTTGCTCTCCATAGCCCATAGTGGAACTATTTGCTCTCCATAGCCCATAGTGGAACTATTTGCTCTCCATAGCCCATAGTGGAACTATTTGCTCTCCATAGCCCATAGTGGAACTATTTGCTCTCCATAGCCCATAGTGGAACTATTTGCTCTCCATAGCCCATAGTGGAACTATTTGCTCTCCATAGCCCATAGTGGAACTATTTGCTCTCCATAGCCCATAGTGGAACTATTTGCTCTCCATAGCCCATAGTGGAACTATTTGCTCTCCATAGCCCATAGTGGAACTATTTGCTCTCCATAGCCCATAGTGGAACTATTTGCTCTCCATAGCCCATAGTGGAACTATTTGCTCTCCATAGCCCATAGTGGAACTATTTGCTCTCCATAGCCCATAGTGGAACTATTTGCTCTCCATAGCCCATAGTGGAACTATTTGCTCTCCATAGCCCATAGTGGAACTATTTGCTCTCCATAGCCCATAGTGGAACTATTTGCTCTCCATAGCCCATAGTGGAACTATTTGCTCTCCATAGCCCATAGTGGAACTATTTGCTCTCCATAGCCCATAGTGGAACTATTTGCTCTCCATAGCCCATAGTGGAACTATTTGCAACTTTTTGTTCAGAGTAGCTGAATCTAAAACAACAACAAGTCATGATTCTAATTCAGTTTTGTCCCAAAGCCCAGAAACACGGCAGTTCCTATAGAACTGCCGTGGCTTAGATATAGGTTTAGATTCAGCTGCTCGGAACAAAAGTTCCAAGTAGCACGGACTATGGTGAGCCCGCGGAGGACTTACCTGACACAAGAGTGGGGGCCGTAACAATGTATTCATATACCTATGTACACGTATTTATCCCATCTGGTGCTTCTATAGACTGTATTATGTATTTTTTAGACTAGATTGACTGTATTTTGTGTTATGACCTATTTAATTATTCTCAACTCTCAGGATATGAATAGGTAAATATTAGATTTTGGGAGGAGAATATTGGTTGATAGATATGGTCAAAGATAAAGTTAATTATCAGGAGAAAGTGGTAAGCTAGTTTGACTATAAAGCACTAGGAAGAGAAGGAACTGGGACAGGATGGAGGAAGGAATGGTGATCAACCACTTGGACCATCAGGAATCGAACACAGATGTGCAAGAAGCGAGACCATTGCTGTACCAACCAGTCCAAATGGTTGGAAAAGATGGACCTAAGAACAAATCCACAAGGGCAGTGACGAGGATTCGAACCTGCGTCTGGGAGCATCCCAGACGCTGCCTTAATGGACTGAGCTACGACAGGGTGTTTCAACCCTTTTAACCCTGTTGTAGCACAGTCGATTAAGGCAGTGTCTGGGATGCTCCCGGACGCAGGTTCGAATCCTCGTCACTGCCCTTGTGGATTTGTTCATTTGATGCATCACGTTAGTGTGATCTCTGTGTGTGATGGACCTAAGAGCCATTAAATGAAAATAAATTAGAGAGACGAGTTAGGTGTTGGGCTAAAAGTCTATCAGTCTCTGGAGGGTTGTCAAGGCCACCACAGTTACAGACCAATCAACAAGAATACCTTATTCCTGAACACAGACCACGATTAAAATAAACTAGTGTATAAACACATAGAAATAGGTTTAGGGAGGATTTTATATTTAGATTTAGGAAAGACTTGGGTAAATACTGGTTCGGTAACAGGGTTGTTGATTTGTGGAACCAATTACCGCGTAACGTGGTGGAGGTGGGGTCCCTCGATTGTTTCAAGCGTGGGTTGGACATGTTTATGAGTGGGATTGGGTGGTTATAGATAGGAGCTGCCTCGTATGGGCCAATAGGCACTCTGTAGTTACCTTTGTTCTTATGTTCTTAACGTGGTGGAGGTGGGGTCCCTCGATTGTTTCAAGCGTGGGTTGGACATGTTTATGAGTGGGATTGGGTGGTTATAGATAGGAGCTGCCTCGTATGGGCCAATAGGCCTTCTGCAGTTACCTTTGTTCTTATGTAACGTGGTGGAGGTGGGTCCCTCGATTGTTTCAAGCGTGGGTTGGACATGTTTATGAGTGGGATTGGGTGGTTATAGATAGGAGCTGCCTCGTATGGTCCAATAGGCCTTCTGCAGTTACCTTTGTTCTGATGTTCATAAATAGGATACAGCTATCAGTGTATTCCAGTTTTTTTTGTTTACATCTTTATAGGACTAATTACCAGCAACAACTCCAGAACTCACTATGTGAATGATGGCGTCGGTCTGGAGGTTGCCCATGTTGCACTCCCTCATCCTGCAGGAGAGTCTGTTGCCGTCCAGGAAGACGTACGACTTGCCTACATTCTCAGACATGGTCAGGTTGATCCTCTCCTTGTACTGCACCATCGCCTCCAGGATCTCTTGGTCTGCAAGAACCATACTGGTAAGCTTTTGAAGAGCATTCATCCTATTGAATTATTTACCGATAAGTATGGTTCTCTGTACATTGTATACAACTTAAGTTTATGTGATACCTTGAAAGTAGAAAACTAAAGGACACATGAAGATATATGTAATTTATGGATTTAATAAATACGGTAATACCACACCATCTTTCACAAGATGGTGTGGTATTAACGGGAGAAGGAAACAAATGCTGAGAGAACTGTACAAATGGTTAGGCTTGCAGAAGTATCCCCTTAGAGAAATGGTTCCAAACCAGGGGACCATGGACCCCTTGGGATCCATGGAAGAATTTCTAGTGGTCCATGGGGCAAGTGATATGTTTTGTACTCCAACAAAATTTAAAGTTTTTACGTTTTGCCCCGAGGGACGAGTTTATTGGGCAGCGCCACTCAGGCTGTGAGTGAACACACCGCCATAGCAGCATGTATTACACTCCCCAATAGGAAGAAAACCCGCTGGGTTGTTCATCCTGTAATAACAACAAACTCTTACGAGTGTGTTGAACTGAGTACCTCCGGTTATTATTTATGTGCAGTTTTAACTGAGAATAACAAGGCAGGGCTTGTGACATATGAATATGGTGTATTTGTTGCAGTAATGGCCACTCTCAATGTTGCTAGCTTTATCTGTTTTGGTGTAGGGGCCCACAGGTGAGAACGTGGTTGTAGCGGTCCACAGGTGAGAACGTGGTTGTAGCGGTCCACAGGTGAGAACGTAGTTGTAGGGGCCCACAGGTGAGAACGTGGTTGAACAAGAAGAGAATGGGACGAAAATGGATAGAAACCATATAGGAAAAATGGATAGAAACGCTAGTCCAAATGAATTATTCTCGTTTCATTTGAGAATAAATCATTTCATGTCGACTTCCGGGACGACACCCACACCATCTGTCTTTAACTTCCAGGCACCTAGTTACTGCTAGGTGAAAGGTGTAAGAAAACGTATCAAAACATTAAGGGTGTGGAAGCGGGGACTGACGTATATTCTCCACCATTCGTGTTAATTAATCTAAGTTAGGGCCAGATTCACCAAAGCACTTACGCAAGCACTTACGTACCTGCCCGCTAGCCACTAAATTTCAGCTCAATGTCCGTAGCGGCTGAGATTAGATTAGGAAGGTGACAAATAAGATTTGCGATGAGATAGGTTAGTGATGCTGTCAACAGGTTGGTGAGTATTGCGTGTCAAGTCTTGATATGAGACAAGGACCAATCAACACCCGTCATTGCACTAACGTGGCGTTCGTGGGTCAAACCACTTTGCATCCTTAATAAATAAATAATAAATAAATGTTTATTTAGGTAAGGTACATACTTACAAGAGATTTTACAAAGTTTGTTGGATTAATAGATAGAGCTAGTACATACAATGCCTAAAGCCACTATTACGCAAAGCGTTTCGGGCAGATTAGATTAGGTTCTTATTATATCTGTCCTTATTATATCCTTATTATATCCTTATTATATCTGTGATTACAGTTGTGTTGGTGGGTGTAACGTCGAAATGCTGTACAGAGTTTTATCGTGGTTTAGTTCTAACAATTATGCCAGAAATGCTGTGTGTATTAGTGGCTTTAGGCATAGTAGCTCGACCTAGAAATCCAACATTCTGCTTGTAACTCATTTTATATGTATGTACTTTCCCTAAATACTCATTATCATTCTCATCGCTATAGTTCATCATTCACAGGCGAGGCTTAGTTCATCATTCACAGGCGAGGCTTAGTTCATCATTCACAGGCGAGGCTTAGTTCATCATTCACAGGCGAGGCTTAGTTCATCATTCACAGGCGAGGCTTAGTTCATCATTCACAGGCGAGGCTTAGTTCATCATTCACAGGCGAGGCTTAGTTCATCATTCACAGGCGAGGCTTAGTTCATCATTCACAGGCGAGGTTTCAAACAGTACACGACCACTGCGTCATTTGACCCATAGAATCGTGTCATGTTCAAGGGGTCTATATTTAAGTACTTTGATGCGTTTTGGTGGTGAGAAAATTTATGTCTCTTCTTCCTCCATTGTTTACTAATTTATTTCTGTTTTAATATGTATAGATTAATTTGCATACACTGTACTGTTATTTTAATTGTTATATGTATTGAATTAAATATTTTGTTAACGCTGGTTCAGGTTTGAAAATAACGTTACATTAGAGATACGTTATCTCTTCAAGCAATCAGTGGGTTCAGGACCCAGTTAATTAACACAGTCTACCCTCTTCAGGACGCGGGTAGCGTCGCCGCTCGAATTTTCTGTAATATTCTGACTTTTTCTTTGAATCAAATTGATTTGCTCGAATTTAATTCGTGGGGAGTTTACCTGTGAGTACGAGGTGTCCGTGGTTGACCTCGCCCATCTATCACCTGTCAAACATACATCAATCACTCACCTGAAGCCCTCACCTCGAAGTGCTAGGTGGTGGGTGCCTTCTAATATTAATAATAATAATAATTGTTCCTTTACGTCCGTCAACACATTCCGGGACTCACTCGGGTCCTTCCTCGCTCACCTTTATTTAATACCCGAGGCTTCAAATGCAAGTTTGTGATGTTCACATCCGCTCACGTCACTGAGAGCTAACCACGCCAAATACCACGCCCCCCCCCCCCACACACACACAGTCGTACGTACGTACATACATACGTCCCACGCACGTACGTACATACGTCCCACGCCCCACACCCACCACTGCTCGATGTGACCTGGCATCTTGACCCCTCCCACCAACCTAACATCTCGCCTACACTCACCCCTGATCCACCCACCTAGACAAACTGCAAACAACGTTGATGCAGCAACGTTTATTTAACGCCCCCGTGAGCGTGCACAACCTCTCGTCTTACTGACGGGACTACGTTTTGACGCTATCAACTCCGGGATAAAAATTGCGGGGTTTAAGGATATTGAAACCACGGCAATATTGACGCTTCGTGGGGCCGAATGATTACCGGCTCCGGTAGGCTAGGTGGGTCGACCAGATTCAGACGCTTTTGGCTAGGCTAAACCGCTGCCTTGTCTACGGAGGGGAAATTGAGAGAAGGCGCGATACCAGTTGGGTTAAACTGTGTACCGAAGTGCGAGTGTGTAATTGAGTCCTACGGGGTCACAATTCCACCTATTACAAATATAACATTCTGTAAGATGAAGAGAGAAGGGAAAAAAACAATGCTGAGGGAGGAAACTACGGCTAAGGGAAACCGGGAAAGGAAGGAAGGAAGGGAAATTACCTGAAAAAGGGTATGTCGGAAGGAAGATATGTAGGAAGGGAGGGAAGTAATCTGGGTTGACAGGCGTCGCGCAAGGCGGGTAACTACCTGAGTGAGGAGGGATAACGCAGGAGAAACGTATGAACTGGATGTAGGGATGGAGAAAGAAAGGAGGTGGGATGGAGGAACTTGAAGATAAGAAATGCATGATAATTTATGTTTCCAAACAACCACCATTTGCATACACGAGACGCACCATGCTTTGCGTCACAAAGGGCCCCATTCCTTGCACAAACAGACCGTCTTTCTTGCATAATGAAGGCCCATTGACAGCACCTACAGTCACCTCCGCTTCGCTTCGTTATATAAGGCTCCTTACTGCTGACACAATGAAATCATCGGTCCCGTATATAAGACTCAAACGCGGCACCCATTTTCTTCTATCGCTATGTCCGCTTTACTTTTTCTTTCACACAGGTGGTACAAGATTAGACGACTTTTGATTCGAACTTGTGTCTGAATCCGAGACACGTGCCCTTAACCGACTCGGCCACGATGGTACAGAAGCCGACCAACCCATCGTGGCCGAGGCGGTTAGGGCAGGTGTCTGGGACTCACCAGAACGCAGGTTCGAATCCAAAATGATATGTACGTATGTATGTATGTAAATCAGTATATTTATTTTGGGAGAGAGTATGGGGCAGGATAGGTAGTAGATGTGGTGTAGAAGGGAAGTATGGAACGGAACGGAACTATCAGTTCTTAAGCGTCAAGTCATTACGACTATATAGCACTGGGAAGGGCTTAGGATAAGGATTTGGGATGGGACGGGGAGGGGAAGGAATTGTGCCCAACCACTTGAACGGTCGGGGATTGAACGCCGACCTGTATGAAGCGAGACTGTCGCTCTGCCGTCCAGCCCAAGTGGTTTGTGGAGAGGATAGGAGTTGGGGAAGGTGTGGAGCAGTACAAGATTAACCTACAAAAAGAATCCCATCATTTTTATACCGAAATGGTCTGTTCGACCAATACCACAAACGTTTATATGTAACAAACTTAAATAAGCAAAATACACGCGAATAAGCCTAAGCTGAAAAAAAACAAACAATTCACCGTGAAAAGTGACAAAAGCTACCTGGCCAGCCTTTGACATCGGAATATCATTTCCATAATTGTTTTGTATACTGCGTGACGACGCAGTCGGCACGAACAAGGGTGGAACAGGGGTTAACTTCAACGGGAAAGGACATGAGTTATAGCATTCAACCTGCCCTTCTCTGTCCAACTTTAGTCTTCACCTCTTGTCTTATTACCAACACATCCAGCTAACAGTGCATTATAGTAACGAGGGAAGCTCGTTAGTATCTATTATAGTGGTTAGTATCTTATAGTGACGAGGGAAGCTCGTTAGTATCTTATAGTGACGAGGGAAGCTCGTTAGTATCTATTATAGTGACGAGGGAAGCTCGTTAATATCCATGATAGTGACGAGGGAAGCTCGTTAATATCCATGATAGTAACGAGGGAAGCTCGTTATATCCATTATAGTGACGAGGGAAGCTCGTTATATCCATTATAGTGACGAGGGAAGCTCGTTAGTATCTATTATAGTGACGACGGAAGCTCGTTAATATCTATTATAGTGACGAGGGAAGCTCGTTAGTATCCATTATAGTGACGAGGGAAGCTCGTTAATATCTATTATAGTGACGAGGGAAGCTCGTTAATATCTATTATAGTGACGAGGGAAGCTC